TCTGAACTGAGAACACCCTGAAGTATAGAGTATAGAAAATAAATTTATGATGAGCCTTTTAGTATTAACATACTAGGTTTTCCTTTGTTAGGACTAGCCTTGATTATAAAACAGGTTGCTTGGGTTTTCTCTTTTTTTTTTCCTTTCTTGTTGGAAGTGGTTTCAGATTCATGACCCTGAACTAATTTCCATATTTTTATATGAAAGTCACATCCTCTCTGGGAGTTTTAAGTAGCATTTTCAATTGCAAAATAGTCTCAAAGACTAATGATACATTACTCTTTCCTAACCTATAGCTCTCTGAGAAAAAAACTGCTAATATAAAGTCTTGTATTATGGCCTCATACCATTTGATTACAGTGCATTTAGTTAAATCTCAGATTACATTTAATAATCTTGGCAGCTTCTTTCTTTAAATACAGTGTTTTAGTTTGGTTATTAGTAAGCAACATTAAAGACATGGCTGTACTACAAAGGGGGTTGTTTATATTTTCTAAAAGTGGAATATTTAACACTGAAATGTCAAACTAGTAGCTTCAACTTGAAAAGGATAGTTATATTAGACAAGTATATTATTCAGCTAACCATCATTTAAACAGTATCTACATCTTGGAACACTTTTTATTAGTTTATCCCTAGAATACTTGAATTTTTTTTTTGTCCAATAAAACCTTTTAATAAAAATTTTAAGTTCCATAATGTGTTTTATTGATTCAAATTAAATTTTTTGACCTCTTACTCCTAGTAGGAGATCTGATTATTTGCACGACTTTTCCTGGGAGAGTTTACTTTTTTTTTGGGCCATAGATAACACAACTTGGGTAGCTTGCTTTGAATATTACTGTGTGTTTTTCCACAGGGATCCAAGGATTTTTGCCTTTTTTCTGTGCCTTTCATTCATCACTTCAGAGAGTGGGTGAGGCAGTGGAATGGCAGTTTCTGAGGACAGCTGTGAAAGATGAGTTTTATCTGTGAATTGTATATGAGAGCACAGAGCTGATTTTTTTCATAGCAAAGACTTTTCTGTAGCTACCAGGCAGCAAATCCAGGCTGTGTTAGGGTGCAGCTCTAATGTGAATCAGCATAGAAAGTGTGTGTGTGTAACAAAAGCAAACACAGTTTGGAGTGAACTTTTATCACCAGTGCTGACCAAATTCTCCATGCTTTTTTCTAGGTCATAAATAATGCCTGTGCAACTCAAGCCATAGTAAGTGTGCTGTTAAACTGTGCTCATCAAGACATTCATCTAGGAGACACCTTGTCAGAATTTAAAGAATTTTCCCAAAGCTTTGATGCTGCAGTGAGTGACCACTGTTTTCTGCATTTTGAGTGTCACAGTGTTACAGCTGTGGTGGTTTACAGTTGTTTTGTTACTTCCTTTCAGATGAAAGGTTTGGCACTGAGCAACTCGGAAGTGATTCGGCAAGTTCACAACAGTTTTGCCAGGTAACATATGTTTTAAATCTGGCCAAAATTTGAGCAAATCCTTTTTAATCTCAGGGGTTTTAAAATTTTCTTTGCAGACAACAGATGTTTGAGTTTGATGCAAAGTCTTCAGCAAAGGAAGAAGATGCCTTTCACTTTGTAAGCTATGTTCCTGTTAATGGGAGGCTATATGAGCTAGATGGCTTAAGGGAAGGACCAATTGATTTAGGTAACATTTTACATTTTTATTGAACACCTTTTATTTTAACAATGGCTTCTTGCAATAAATTAGTCATATGTTATAGGTTCAAAGCAAATTATTTATTAAAATAAAGAATATCTTGGAAGTTTTCTGAATGTGCTGTAGGTTTGTACTTCCTTGCAGTCATTTGTATTGTTTTAGTTTTGTTGGTCTGAAAATACAATTTTCTCCCTGTTTCCTCCATGTCTCTGATGCTCTCTCTTTTCATTTAGTAATTAAATGATCAGGTCCTGCAATCCCTTCTAAAACCTTGATAGCTTTGTTGCAAGACAGAAGTTTACATAAAGGGAGAATGTATACAGCTGACTCCAGACACTTTTTTTCTTTTATGTGGCTTGTGTTTACACACTGCTGTCTTTGTTCTTAGCAAGTGTTTCCCTAATGGTTTAAAAGAAAATAGCTTTGTTCTCTGTAAGGCAGGCTTCTGTTTTGTAATCTTTGAGATATGTGTGCCCTGTTGAGTCTTGAAAAGCTCTGCACTGCCTATCATGTGTCAGTAGTTTAGAGTCTGATACGTTGTCAACATGTTCTGCACTCCATTCCTTGAGTCTTTTCCCAGATTTGTTGACAATTTTATGTTTAGGCTGAGCAACAGCTTGCTGCTTAATTGTGTCTTTAGCCTGTCCAGAGATACTGTACAGTCTTTGGACCTAACATCATTTGTGTGGTCATAAGATCACGAGCCTCTAAATTTACTTTAAGGTCTTGAACTTGCAAAAGAGGCATTTTCAGCTTAGGAAATCACCTGTGGGTATCCTGTCATATATCTTGAAATCAAGTTCTCTATCATGTATCCTTTTATGGTTTTTCTTTCTGCCTGACTTTTAACAGTATATTGCATCCGCACAGACAAAATCAAGAGTTAATATTAAACAGCTGTACCTGCCCATAGTGTTTTGCTTTGCTGTCTACTTCAGTGTTGTCATACCAACTAATTTCCCTTGTGTCATAAAAATCTTACCTAACATACTTTTCCCCCACCCCATTATTTCTTGTTATGAGCAAAACAAATGTTAGCTGCTTATGCCCTTCAAATTTAGCTTTGTTCCATTGCTTTGGTCACTGCATTATGTAACTGTTGTTATTACTAAAACATCTTCCACCTCCTGAAAAACCACCTGAGTAATTTCAGACTGCAGTAGCTAATGAAAAACTTGTTATGCATAAGCCTGAATTATATGAGTGGACTTTGCAGTAAATTTTGCCACGATACTGAATTTTTTCCTTCATTAGATGTTGCAAAGATGATGCATTTTTCCTGTTTTGCCAGGTGCATGCCATCAGGATGACTGGATAAGTGCAGTGCGGCCCGTCATAGAGAAGCGCATACAAAAGTAAATGGTCGTGATGCCTTTAACATATAGCACCTTACTATGCTTGACAATTCCATTGTCTTAACTGCCTTCAGTTAAAGGATTTCTGCTGAATGTCTAAGCAATGGCACTTATGCATCATTTCTTTATGCATATCACTGTGTGGCTTGAGAACCTGTTGGCCAACATGAGGCAAATGTGATGATAGATAAATCTCAAATACAATTTGCTGCTGCATAATTAATCCAAGTAGGTGTCTGTGTAGTGAAGAGAGATCCTACGAGTGCTCTGGAAAAGAAGATTGTTATCTGTTGCACAGCTGTGGATCTTTGTGAGTGAAAGCTAAGAGTGTCATGACCATGAATAACATTTGCCTATGCACTTAAAATTGTTAGGTAGTCATTCTGTCCATGCAGCTGGTGTTTAGAAATCTGAAGTTTTTCTTAGGAATAGCTTGTCTTTGAAATTGAACATAGAAAAACATACTGTGGAACTTTCCTACTTCTTAACTCTGTTTCCAAACTGCAGTCCCAAATTTGTTAGAAAAAAAGTTGATTTTTTGCCATTTTTAGAAAACAATTCTAAGTTTTTGCTTGAAGACTTATGTTTTTTGATAAGCAAAACAGGACTGTCAAGCTGTTTATTGGAGAATTTGACCTCCAAAAGGCCAACTAGTCTAATTGTTGAATGTACTTCTCACACTGTGTGGAGAAGTCTCCAATATTTTCTAACATGAAATAGTAATGAGAAAGTAAAAACTATTGTGTGAAGCATCTTGTGTAAGTTCTGTTGTTGTTTTCTTTTCTTTTTTTTGGGGGGCAGTTTCAGTATTTGTTTTGTGACCACAGACAGGAATAGTAAATTTTGGGGAGAGAAGGTAATTAGGAGTTAGATACTGGATAGAGTTAATTTGTGGTCTGATTTTATTTTGTAACAAGGTTGGATCTGTAGCACAACTTAATTTAACAGACGCATTTAAAATTTTGTTTTCATTAAATGAAATCAAGGAGGGGGCTTTTGAGTTGTCATGTTAGAACTAATTTTGAAAGTGGATTGTCTTTGTTGTTTTGTTTTTCTGTTCCTCATTTAGATACAGTGAAGGTGAGATAAGGTTTAACCTGATGGCTATTGTGTCTGACAGGAAGATGATATATGAGCAGAGGATTGCAGAGCTACAGCAGCAACTGGCAGAGGTAGGCCATGGAACTGAAATTGCTAAAGTAGTTCCCTGATGGTTCTGTGTGTTGGCTTTACCATTCACTTCCCTCCCTTGCTCCCAATGGAGCAGTAGCAGAAAAGCAGGGAGTGCTTGCTAGAGATCTGTCCAGCACAGTGTGGATGCACTCAGTGCTGCAGCTCTGAGCTGAGCACTCAGCCCAGTGTTGACCCTGTCGTTTTGACTTTCTGCCTTGACTCATTTGCTGTGGTGCTGGAAATGTTCTTTTCCCAGTACCTGCTTGTAACTAACTGCAGAAATTCCTGGTATGTACCTATAATGGTAAACAAAACTGAATCTTTCTGTGATAGAAGTGCCCTTGAGACAAAACTTGCTTTCGAAAAAGTAAAAATTAAAAATGGAGTAACATCATCCATTTAAATTTTTGTTTTGTGGAAGGAGGAGCCAATGGATACAGATCAAAGTAGTAATGTGTTAAGTTCTATACAATCAGAAGTTGCAAAATACCAGATGTTAATTGAAGAAGAGAACCAAAAATTAAAAAGATATAAGGTATGTAGTCTTTGCTTTTCTGATGAAGTTATTGGAACAGTTGTAAGATAAAGTCAGCTTATATATGTATGGGAGCTGTGCAATGAATGTGAAGGAACTGGATGGAGGCTAGAAGATTGTTCAGCTTTATAATAATTCTGTTAATGCTTTTAATTTCTTTTTAGATTGAAAATATTAGAAGAAAACATAACTACCTGCCTTTCATCATGGAATTGTTAAAAACTCTAGCAGAGCACCAGCAGTTAATACCATTAGTAGAAAAAGTGAGTATTTCCTAGCTGATAGTATGATTTCCTATGATTCTTCACACCTTCTCTTTTAAGTAAAAGAGCCCATGTCATTTATTTTTCCAAGTTCTTTGGCCAGGGACAGCTCCTCACACTCCTGTGGCAGCCGTGGCACAGAGCTGGGAATTTGGTCCCTCTCTTTTCCCTGTTCCTGTGCTCATTTACTGGCTTGGGTTTCCCCTTTCTAAGGTATCTAGCCATGAACACTGATTCATTGCTAAGGTTGGTATTAAAACTTTAATAAATAAGCAAGGTTTGGCAAGATAATTAAACTGGTCAAGTACTTGGATTGTACTCAGCTCTGTGCTGGTGTGCACTTATGCTTGAGTCCCTGAGGCAGCATCCCTGATTTTATACTCACTGAGAAGGGATTTCTGAATTAGTATGATGAAAAAAGAGCTGTGTGTTATTTAATGAGTACATTCTGTAGCTGAATTTATTTAGGAAGGTACATTTGCAGGCTCAGAGTTTTTAAGAGAGTAAAGTTGTGAAGTTTTAATCCAGTTTCATGTGAACAGAAGTCATTGATGACACCCGTCAAGCTGCTTTCACAAGTAAATTACCAGGGAGTTGGTGGTAACAGATCTTAATTCTAATCACTGAATTAGATGCTGTTCTGTTCACTTCAATAAATGGTAACAAGCAGCAGCCTGATTCAAAATTAATTAATGTTTTGCCAGAAAGTTGTTGGCCAGTATTGCTTCTGAGTTGTCCCCTCTTCTTGCCCAATCTGTTTAAGTAAATTCCTAAGTGCCAGTTCTTTACCAATTGGACCTATTTATGATTGATATAAGTTATGAGAATCTGTCTACAAATATTTTGACAGGAACTGTTGTGGGGGTTTTTTCCACTTAGTTGAAAGATCAAAACTACTAAGATCTTGGTTCATTTCAGATTTTAATTTTGATCATCTCTATGTCTGAATGTGCTGTTTTCTTGTGACATAAAATGTTCCCATTAGGAAGTTTTTTCTATGTTAAATGAAATTGGTATGAAGGTACGAAAAATGAAAGTTTAAATTATGTTTTTAATATAGTGCTTTTCCCCTACAGAAGTTACCTAATCTCAGTTTCTTTTGCATAATTTATTTAAACCTGTATTTGTTCGTAAAAGGCTTTATACACTAACCTAATAAAATAGTAGTAGGATGCTTCTGAAGGGTCCAAATTTACATTGAAATTTTTGTTTTTCCAGCATATGTTTAATATTCAGAAATGTAATAGGTAGCCATTCAAAGCTCCAGAATGAGCTTCATCTTGCCCAAGCTTGACATCATCTCCCCTTGTTTCCTAGGCGAAAGAAAAACAGAATGCCAAGAAAGCTCAGGAGGCCAAATGAAGATGACTTTGCAAAACACATACAGTTACTTGCTTCTGATACTATTTTCATGACAACAAATAAAGCTTTTCATAAACTTCAATTTTTGTCCAGTGCACGTTTGCCAGTTGTAATGGTTTGTCTTGTACTGTTTGCATGGGTCTGACTCTGCCTTCCCTGCATCTTGTGCATGTAGTACTGCTGAGCAATGTTTAGGTTCTCCTGGTCATATTCAGTATTTAACAGTCTGCCTGAAAGCTTGGGAAGTGGACCCAGAAATGTGCAAGGAAAATGTCCCCATTTTGTCCCACTTGAACGTGATAATGATACAAATGCCAGAGGTTGAAGTATAAGCATGAGCTTTCTTTGCTCATCCCTACTAACAGTTACAATCCTTTCCAGTTATTCAGTGACATAGCCTGTGTCTTTGTTTTTATGAAGTATGTGTCTAATTTTTTTACAAAATGGAAAAGTATTGATTTAGCTGTAGAAACATTTGCAAAGACCAATGTATAATCTCAAAAAAAAAAACTGCATTGCTTTAGTAGAAAAGATAATAAATATTCCCATTTTTATTTTGGCAAACTTTTTTCTGTGGTATTTTATTATGGGACAAGATGATTAGGAGGATATGGAGGTCATCAGCCTTGACTTGAGTATATGCATTCTATATTTGAGTAGAAAGAAGGCACACTATTGTTTTGGGGAGTTAATATTCTTGGATATAAGGTATTCCTCTTCTGGAGTGTGTTCAATTTAAGTCTTTAAAGCACTGCTCTTTGGTTTTTTTGACTTTGAGGAGTAATATAAGGAAAAAGGTGTACAGTAGATTATTGTTGATGGCAACAGTGCTGTGGAAGACACTTGAGCTGTGTCCCATGGACCAGAGGAAATACCTGGGAATGGAGTTCACTGGGTGTCCTGCAGGCAGCATGTGAGCTGTGAACAGATTGTTTTGGTATGGATAGGAACAGGCCACTGCAACAATACACTGTTTGAATTAGTCACTGTCAGTGTACGTGTGTTTGTTTAGAAACTTCCAGTTTCTTCCTAAAAGACTAGGATAAGAAACAGAAAAAAAAAGGAAAAATATATAAAACATTCTGTTACCTGTGGTGCTTCGTATATATTGCATATGTATTTATATAAACAGGATAAACTTTTGGCCAAAGAAGTAAAACATAGACTGTGCTCTTCACTGCTGGAAGGAACTCCTCGAGGCATTGCTGTGGCTGGAAAGGTAAGCTTGGTTTTAGAAAAACCTGAGATCCTTACCTGTGTTTTGTACAAAATTGATCAGCTTAATGAGAACATAAACTCTTGTGAGAATTTCTTACTTTAGTAATTCACTGCAGCATTACTGTCCAAGGACACAGACTCTTACCGAGGGAGACATTTCTGCTTTTAAAATTACATTTTAAACTCCATTTCAACCTGTTGAAAACATTTGTCTGTCTTTTTGAGTGGTAGCCTGATGACTTGCTGCACCTTGTCATCCTTGAAGAATTTTGCAATTTGATATTAGATGTCAACTTAAATTTGTACTGAAGTAATTTCATTCTCCTCTTACTGGTGTGCTTGGGCACAAAAGGAAAAGGAATTTTGCTGAAGCAGATAATTATTTTTGCAATTATCAACAAATTTTAGTAGCAGTTGTTTCAGAAATTAGGAAACTATTGCAAGCAAGCTTTCTGGATTTGTGAATGGACAAAAAAAGATGGATGTAAAAATCAAATTTTAACAAAATTTGCTACTCTAATATTTAAGTGAAAATGCTTAGTTTTTTAAAAAGGCTGTTTAATGCAGAAGTATAATATTTCAAAATTAGTGTTTTCTGTTGTATTATGTTTTCCTCATCAAACTTCTAGCAAATTTTTTACTTTTTTTGCCAAATTTGTAGAACCATTTTTTCATAATGTGTGTCTAGGCTTTTTATTTGTATATTAGGACAGCATCACGTGAATGCAGAGCTGGACAGGAAGTTGACCCTGGCGAGGCTGGGATACAGTTCATTTTCTCCTTGGTAGCTGGTACGCAGTGCTGTTTTGGATGGAGCATAAGAAACATGTTGGTAACACACTGATGTTTTCAGTGGTTGCTAAGCCTCCCACAAGATCACAGCCTCCTCTCAGGCATCCCCCTCCTCTGGCATGGAGTCCTCCATGGCCTGCAGGTGGAATGCTGCATCCCCATGGACCTCCATGGGCTGCAGAGTCACAGCTGCCTCACCATGGTCTCCACAGGCTGCAGAGGAATCTCAGTTCCTGCTCCTGGAATGCCTCCTGCCTCTCCATGTCTGCTGTTCCTCTCACATATCTCACCTTGCTTTTCTCTGGCCACAACTACAACTGCACAACTTTTTCTTTATTCTTAAATCTGCTATCACAGAGGCATTACCACCATTTCTAATTGGCCCAGCCTTGGCCAACATCATCTCCATCTTTGGAGCCACCAGGGATTGGTTTTGCCAGACATGGAGGAAGCTTCTAGCAGCTTCTCACAGAAGCCACCCCTGCAGCCCCCCATGCCACCAAAACCCAGCCATGCCAACCCAGTACAGCTGGTTTCAGCCTCTGCCTCCCAAACTTTGTGAGTTTTAGCAGCTACACACAAGAGATCAGTGAATGACTCGTTTTGCCCTCAACTGCTTTTCAGTGTTTGACTCATCAGTGGAGGGTAGAAAGTTTTATCTTGTCTATTAATTATGCAAATAACTGCATACATGCCTATGTGCTTCCTGTGGAGGAAGTCCAAGGAGAAGGTGGGGTTGGTGTATGAAAATACAGGACACTCCTTTTCTTTCCTTTTTTCTTTTCCCAGAGCACTAGGTTAATGGAAACAATTATAAGAAAAACAGCTGTCTGGGAGAGTCTGTAACAAACTGCTACATAAACAACCTTCTGATACTGAATTGTTGAAGTCTAACTACGTTCAAATTGTAAAGACTAAGGACTTCAGAAGGAAGGTAAGTTATTTTATGGCTCATATATTTCATGCAGGTAACACATGTCTGCCTAGCAAAGCCACAGAAACATTGGGGAGAAACAGACTGGAGATACTGTGGCCTTATGTACGAGAACAAGAAGTTTCCCCAACAGAACAGAAAGTGTGCTTCTCAAAATAGCTGGCATTTGTTAACAGGCTGAGACTTGTGCATTCTGTGTGCCTCAATGAGCATATAAAAAGAATTGATTCATCTCTGAGAAATTGATGACACTTGCTAAAAATAAATGAGTTTAATATCTCAAAAAGAGCTTACATTGTGTATACATATCTGTGCTCACAGGATGTTCTGATCTTTTCACTGTTTTTTCTTTAGTAATTATATCAGTAGCTTATGTAGAAAAATAACATCAAAAATAGCTAACTCACGAAACAACAAATACTATCTCTTTCTGTGGTAATAAGAACCAATTCCAGCTAACTTTCACTCAACTTATGCCTTTCTTTCAGTGATTTTCCTTTTTCTTCTTTTGTAAATGTTTCTTCTTTCACCTGCTAGACTCAAAGAACAGTAGGGAACATCATTATGACAATATATTAGATTATAAAAGCCTTCAAGAAAGCATGAAAAAATATTTTATAAGCAATAAAAAGATAGCAACTTCTTTTTACAACATCTGTCATCTTCTAAGGAAAGTTCACAAAAAGAATAGTTGAAATACCAAATTAAAACAAAATCCTTAAGTGTTAAGATTAATGATGTAATTCTTGATGAAAATTTACCAAAACCAGAAGAACATACACAACAGGAACAAACTGTACTGTACATCTACAAGACAGAAATTTCAGTGTTTCCTGCTGAAATCAAACTGCTAGAATGATGTGTAACAGCTTTTTACCAGTACAGTAATGAGAGGAAACTGAGAATACTGTGCTGAAAAGAAATTTAAAATTGGAGGAGGAAATTCTTATTAAAAAGGTGGGGGTTTGCATGTGTGCCTGACCAAGACATGATATGTACAATTTGGTAAAAGACTAACAGAAATTAGCATACAGCTATGATCTCCAAAAAATAATCTCAGCCTACCTAAACAAATTTTGATGGATTTTCACTGAAAATAATATTTTAAACTGTTTTTCCAGGATATGCTGCAGCTCCATATATAAAAATATGTATATTACATATATATATTTGTGTATTAGAAAATTGATTTTTGTTCACATATCTCTTTTGAAAAGCCACTGAGGAGTTAAAAACATGTCCCTCTGCAACCTCCTGAACAACATACTTTTTAAAATAAAATCTCAGAGAACTGAGATCTGAATAAGCAGCAGTTCCTTGAGAGCCACACTAATATAAAAACACCTAAACATGCTTTATGCAATCATTCATGTGTTAGGATTAGCTGTGGTTGGCCCTTGCTATTCCTGTGGAAACTGACAGTCCTGTCTTGTATCAGGTGTTCTCAAACCAAACCAGTACCAAACTTGGAATCTTTATGGATAATACAAAGCAAGAATAATTCCAGAACATCATCAGCACATTTTCTTTTACTGCAGAAATGTGATGTGATTAGAGATGTACCTTTTACATGTGGTAAGAGTGCTTTCCCTGGGAAATCTGATTGGTAAAATTATTCAGATGGCACTTTAGTCATAATGTAATTACAGTATCTTGCATGAGAGTGGAGGATGCACAAGGTCCAGTGGTTGGAACAGGAGGCCAGACCATTCCTCATCTTGCTCTTCCTTGCTGTGTGAACATGAAAAGTTGCTCGACCTTTACAATTTTGCTTACCCTGCAAAGGCTATGGGTTTACATGCAGCTAAGCAAAGGTACTAACTGTATTGCCTCACCTGTCTCTCATTTTCTCCCAGTTTTATAGTACATGAGTAAACCTGCCAGAAAGGAACAAAAATTACCTTGTTCATTTAGGTGGTTTTCAGCTTTATACACACATGCACTGGAATTCTTATAAAATATAATTGCCTTAATTGTTTATCATCCCAACATATATGTTACCTTCCTAAGCTCATTAAGAGGCTGCAGTAAAACAAGATGCAGCAATGCTATGAAGGAAAAGACGAATTTCAACCTAAGTGCCACTGGAGCAAGGAAAGGAAATAAGGGGTCATACTTCTGCTTTTCTGTTGAGACAGACTAGAAAAGGAAATACAGCAAGGAGTGAAGTGCAAGATAAAGATGTGGCAGCATACAGCACTTGGCATAGGCTCCTGCCCAAGGGGACTCAGAAGGCAAGGAGATGGTTACTGCAGCAGAGGGCACTGGAGTGACAAGGATGTGGGGTGTGGTTGTGGTACTGGCTCTGCCTTGCTCTGCCTTAGTGGAACTACAGACTTGCTCTGCTGCAAATTCTGGTACTCTCTGTTGCTTCAAAATTTTTATCCCAAAAAGACAGGAGATGTGCTGAATGACACTGAAAGGTCTGGGATTGGAGCCAAGCAGGCAATGACACGTAAGCAAAAAAGGCAATAAGGAGGAGAATGTGGGGCAGGTACTCCTCAATCAGCATTCTGCATTCCACACCACCAGTGGGACCACGAGGATGAGATGGGGTGCTTAAGGAAGTGAAACCTCTAATGAGAAATCATCAAAACAAAGTTTCTTACCTTCCTTATAATTTCTTCTTTTTCCACAGCAGCTGCAGTCAGAGGATATATTTACACAGACCTTTTGCATTCCAAGTAGGCTGGAAACACAAACTTAATAATTGTATTGATATTCTACAAATTTATTATGAACATCATCAATGAACTGCAAAAAAATTTTTCAACAAATCTCATGTTTGGTGGGTAATATAGTATTATTTATTTGTGCAAATTGTGAAGTTGTGAATGCTTGGGAGAGAAGTTTTCAAGGAGGAAAACTCATTTTATAGATATGGACTTCACATTCATTTAGATGCTCTAGGCTTCTTTTATACACAGGAAACCAAAACCTTGTGTGTTATGTTGGAGATACTGAGCATGTCCACAGTGTAAGGCTGTATTTGGCTAACATTGTTTTATTATTTAAAATAAGCATATAAAACTAGCTCCAACAGTTGCATCTGTATCCATGGGCTTGGATGACATTCAGCATGCTCTTTAATGAACGTTGGATTTTTTTTCAATGATGATGTTGGATGGATAGAGTCTTCTGCTTTTTGTCAATGGAATTTTATAAGAGTGCAGGAGTTTAGGTTTTGTTAATGTGATGGTCAGTTTATTTAACATGATGGTCAAGCATATACAAGTGCAAAGGATTTTATTCTTTATTATCTGTGGTTTAGAATTTTCACTGTGTGAAATAACAAGGACATGCTTGCAGCCACCTGGAGAAGTATTTCAATCTTGCTTTCCATTCTGATATCACAGGTTTCAAAATGAGAATTTCTCCTCTATCAGCTTGACAAGTCACATTACTAACTAAAATAGTGGACTGAAATGCTGCCAAGACATTTAAAAAATACACATTTCTTTTTTTAAAGACAGCTATCCTGGTACCACAGTTCTAGAGCAGTTTTATATAGAAGGAGTAATATAAAAATTGAATGGTGAGATGATACCATTTGACAGTTACATTGGTATTTTAGGTATTTCTCTCAGTCATAGAGGCTAAAATGGGGAGTCATTTTTAATGTATAATTTGAAGAACATTACTAGTGTGGCCACAAATGTCAGCTCTTAGAACCATGCCTACACATTATCCCCTTTTGGATGGGAAAAAGGAGAGAGAAAGGAATTGAAAATTGAGACTATATGCAGTAGAACAAAAACTAATTCCTGGGGGCTTTTAGGAACATAAAAGAAAGAACAATGTAAACAAGTGGAGATGAATTATAGCAAATTTAATGATAAGCCAAAATGATATTTGAAAACAGTAATCGAAAAGACAAATAACATTTTGTGCTTCACATGCTAAAAGCAGTGTATCACACAGGAAGAAATGCTGCATAGCTGGGGAAGGCAGACACTAAAAATAATCTAGGTTATCTAGTGGGATCAGATCCCAACAAGAGAACAAGCTCATCCACAAATTTCTGAACTTTCAGGAAACATAACAAAGAATAAACATTAGAAAAGCCTGACTCTGATGGAAGTCTAAAGTGGGGCTTGAGAATTCAAGTGCTCATCTGTGCAGTGTTAGATAATAACAACAATAAGTGATTTCATATCCCACTTCTTTAACTTTCAACCATGTATTACCGTGGTAACTTATGCTGTGCTACTGAAAATTGTTGTTAGCATGTTCCTAGTGGTAATGCAATTAAATGTTGAGGGAAAACATAAACTACATGAAAAATAAAACCTTCCCACAATAAGGAACCAAAAGGCTAAGTGGTAGAAGTCCCCAGACTGGAATATTAAAACCCAGACTGAACAGAACACTGTACAATCACTTGCTAGAAACTAGGAATAACAGGATTCAGGCCCTGACCATTTCTAGCTGCTCTGACATTAAACCAAAGTTGCAAAGAACACCTACCATTTCAGCTATTCCTAATGCCATCTGCTTCTGATCAGGACACTCACAACTCCAACAAGGTTCACATTTCTACTGTAACATTTGAAGAGGAGTCTGCAAAAGATGGCAATTGCCGATTGAGAAGTTGCTGTGGTACAGAATATCAGACTGGTTAGGAGCACCTTAAAGCTCCTCTTGTTCCAAACCCTGCCACAGGCAGGGACAACTTCCACTAGCCCAGGTTCCTTCAAGCCCTGTCCAGTCTGGCCTTGGACATTTCCAATTTACACTGATTTTCTAGCTCATAGTAAAGCTCTTGCTAAGTCAAAGGTGCTCTTTGTAAATATCCTAATCTTCTGTGTTCGTAAGATCTCAATGCCTGTGACTGTGGCTAGAAAACTGTTTTCAGAAATCAATAGCTTTTCTTAGTACTAAATATTTTATTTAAACACTGATCCTTGATAAATATTTAGGTTGTTTTGGTGGAAAAGCCTAAATAATAGAGATTATTTCTTTAGTAAAACAGAAATAACACTTTTAGTTACTAGCACATTTCTTGTCAAGTTAATGAAAATCTGTCTATGGTCAGTACAAGAGTCAGAAATAGGAGCTGAAGAGTAACCTTGCCCTATGTAGTTTTTCCCTGTATGTAGGAATTTCTGCCTACATGTCACAGCCCAGCTTTCTTTTGCAGGCCTGCTCTCTCAAATCCCTGGCTCTGGGCGTGGCTACTTCTGACTTGACAATGTCTTGTTTATATTGTATTTCCAGGTCATGCAATGCTGCACTTCAGATGTTGGACTGACAATACTACACTGGGTGCTCCTCACAGTTATGCAAGGAAAACAGAAAAGCAGTGAGTCCCTGCACAGCATCCTGCACAATGGCATCACAGCAGGACTGATCCCACAGAGCCTCCAGCTGGGCTTAGATATGATAAAATAGGTGGGCAATAAAACAGGACCACTGAATACTATTTTTGGTCTTTAATTTAAATATGGTTTCCTTAGTGTTTTATACTATATAATGTTTCATGTTCTCATAAACAGGCATCAAGTGGATGTGCCTTGAAATATCCTGATGCTAAATAATTACTGCTTGTAACAATTTAAAACTGTCAATCGGTACATGCTTAGTAAAAGCTGCAATTCGAGTGACTGCAAGACATTCTATAATTGCGTTTTAAAATTTCTTCTGTATGCCAACCAGTTCTGACTGTGATACAGGAAAGCTTGGAGGGTCCCCAAATATCTTACCTGTGGTGTTGGTTAAAGCTAAGGATGATTTGTGTCCTGCAGCACACAAAGCTACGGGGGACCTTTTCCAGTACCGAGTCCATCTCTACGCCTTCACTTGGGACTGGTGGGCAAAACCCCGAAAGCTTTGCCCTGCACGGCCACGTAAGAGGGAACTTGATTTGCGTCATTTTCCCCCAAAGTCAGAAAAATAACCGGCTTGAAGCAGTCAGGTGTGATGGCATGAGGCAACCGCAGGGTCCAGCAACAGAGGTTCCTGAGGGAGAGAAAATGGCGGGCGGGGGCCCTCAGCAAGCTCCCAAAACACAGAGCGCTCCCCAGGAGCCACTCCTGGTGTGACAAGCCTCGCCCTCCACCCCCGAGCCCGCGAACTATGACAACAGGAGCTGAGAGGGGGAAAAAAGACCCCACCTGAAAGGAGGAAGGCATCTGACATTGGAGACCGTCCCTGACGGAGCGCGAGGTACCCTGCCCGAGACGGGCCATAGTTCGCCCGCTCTGCCCTCACGGGCTCCAGGCCGTGACTCGGCTATTTCTCCCCGTCCCGTCCCGTCGCGTCCCGGCTGCGGGGGGAGGCGGGCGCAGGAAGGGGCGGGTGGTGCAGGGAGGGAGGTGGGCGGGCGGCGGTGAGAGAAGCAGTCGACGCACAAGATGGCCGCTGCCGGAGTGGCAGCGGGGTGGCGGCGGGCGATGGCGGCGCTGCCCCGGGGCCCGCGTGTACTACTGGAGGAGCAGCAGCAGGGCGCTGTGGCAGCCCCGGTGTGCCGGAGCTGAGGGGGCCGCTGGGCGCTGCAGGAAGCCCGGCCCGCGTGGTGAGTGCGCTGCCTCCGCCGCGGGCTGCGGGGAACAATAGGGCGGGAGAGCTCTGCCCGCCTTGCCGAGAAAGGAGGCGGAGGGGCGGGCGCTGGGGTGAGATGATCTCCAGAGGTGCTTTCTACTTCTAACAATTCCGTGACTTTGTGCCTCGCCAGGCCTCAGGCTCCGGCCGGGCTCGATTTCCGAACGCCTCGGGCAGGCGGGGAGGGACCGCGGTTCGCTGTGCCCGATGGGGGCGAGGCGAGAGCGACTGGGTCCGGCTGGGGGTGGGGAGAGGCGGCATCGCCTCAGGCTGCGGCGGCCGAGGGACAGGCGGCTTTTGTGTGCCCCCTCTGCCTGTCGTTGTTTTTTTCCAGGGGCTCTGCCTGCCTCTCCTTGAGAAAATTCGTCCCTCTGTCGCGTTGAACAGCAGAGACGGAGGGAAATCAATGATAGAGCCCTACCCGTCCCCGGGACACCTCTCCGCCCTGGGTTGTGGCTCTTTTGTCTGTCGTGCCTGAGGGAAGAGCGAGGTGGCCGCGGCTGCCTCTGCATGGGGACAAACGATGGGGAAACCGCGCAGGATCTCCCTGCCTTGCACTAGTTTTTCCACCCTGGCATTGTTTTGGCTGTTGGATTACACCCACAGAGTGGGTAGGGTTTCATGCCGGGGGTGCGGTGTTGGTGTAGCTGGGATTTAATTTGCTTTGATGGTCGGGAATGTCCTGGTGTCAGGTTTTGTCTTCAAAAGCCATTGTGAGGTCTGTCTTGTTTTAAAGCAGGGAACTGATGCAGGCTTTGGTTTTTCCCCCTAGGAACTGGGAGTGTTTTGTTTACCTCTGCACGCCTTTTTGTCCAGAGTGTTTATCTTATTTTTTTACATTTTAGTCAAGTATGCGTGACAAATCATTTCTTCCTCCAGCAGAAGCTACGGTTTTCGGTGGTTTTTTTGCCATATTGAAAATGGCTGAAGTGGGGGAAAAAATTAAAAATTTGCAAAAATAATTAAAAGGTTCAAAGTAACCTGGATTGCAGCTGAGCTGCTTTAATCATTGTAACTGGTGTAGCAGTGCTGTCATTTAATGATTCTGCTGGAAGATAAATGCAGCATTTATGCTCTATTCACATTATTTGGTTATAGAATTGTGAGATAATACAGGAATACTCTGAGGCAGAAGTTAATGTATTCCTAAACTTGCATTTTCTTACTTCTTCCAGGCTTATGAGGATGTGGAGGTGGTTAATTTTGTCAGCTATAAATGTCTGTATTGCTGCGTTTGAAGTCAATGAAGCTAACGTGGGACTTCATGGCTGTATAAATAACCTGTGTTCAGGAGCAGCTGGTACATTATTGCCAGTCTCTAAGCTTCACCAGGAGCTCCGTGGCTTTCTGCAGTGCATTAAGACACAAGGTTGATAATGAAGTTATGGTTCCCACTAACATAAATAGAAGCAGACGTTATCAGGCACGTTTTCCTTTCCCTGTGATGGCTTGTGGCTTTGCCTTCCTGTCCTAGAAAAGGGTCTGTCAAAGCAGACAGCTTGACAGGCTGCTTGGAGGGAAATTTAGAAAGGCAGGTACCATCAGAGCAGTTTGTTTTGACAACCAGAGACTTGAGTTTGTCAATCACTTATGAGCAGCAGGAACCTTCATTGACATAAGTGGGAAGTAACTTGTATGGTTTCTGGTGTTTTGTTGTTTGTTTTTGTGAGGTTTTTTTTGTCAACTCTGTATCCAAACTAGCTTAATTTAAAGCAAAATATTTTAGAAATTTCTGATGGGATTGTTGTGTGCTGATAATTTAAAAAACTAATGTTCCAGTGAAGAGATGAATATATGAATGTGGAAATTGCAGACATTAATATCACAGAGTTTAATTCAGGGGCATCTTGAGGTGTGTATTATTATATAAAAGCGCTTGTGCTAAAGCTGAGGAGAAATGAGCAGGAATGCTTTTGGAAACTTCTGACGTGTTGCCAATGATTCACCAGCAATCTGGGTGGAACCATTATCAATCTTGTTGAATTAAGCTTCACAGAAGTTGAGATTCAGTGAGTGTATATTAAATAATGCTTTAATTACTTTGTATGGGGTTCAGAAGTCTTGGGTGGCACTGATGCTAGCTAGCTTTCATAGTGATGGCAAAAACTGACACCCATTTAATTGGGATCTCTATCTCTTAACTAACTAGTGCTGTAAAAGGTTGTTTTATGATACTTAGGAAATTGACCTTTCCCAGTCTGTAATATGTAGTGATACGAAGGATAATTACCTTTTTTTTATTACATTCTGCATCAAGAATTGCAGTTTACATGCTGGATACCCGGGGAAAAAATGTTTCAGCCATTTGAAAGAACTTGTGGAGTCATAGCTTTCCAATGGTGTGACATGTAAAGCTGAATTAGAAGGAAAGAACTCACCTGCATGTAGATTCCCAAACTTCCCAGGAATCTCAGAATAGTGATGGAAAAGCCACTGTAATGTATCTTTCAAGCAGGTGACCTTTATAAAACTTTGTATTTTTTTGCACAGCCCACTCATTGTTTAAAATTCCTCTCCCACCATGGATTCATGGAATCATTTTGCAGATGAAAGTCTGTGTGGTTTTGTGGTGGTTTTTCCCACACCCAGTAAATCAGGTGCTTGTTTGCTGGAGCATCCCGAGTAACATTGGCTGGTGGGCCAGAAAAAACAAATCTGACTCAAAGTACATGGCAGATAAAACATAGAATTAGTAGTTTTGAAGTTAGTGTCTTGGACTGTACTAGGTAACAAGTGGGAAACCATTATCATACAGGAATAAAGATATAATATGCTGCTATTGTGAAAGATTATTATATAAACACACTGCACCAACTGAAATTTCAGTGTGACCTTCAAGATTCCATGTAGGCTCTGTTACAGTAATGAAGTCTAGGGACTCTGCTAGGTGAGAAAGAAAACCACAAATGTTTACTTATGGTATATTACTTTCCTTTCTGAGCACAGGTTCCTCAGTGTGCCCAGAATTAGGTGCAGTTCCCATCACTGAGGCTGACCACTTGTTTTGCTGAAGATGTGCATCTCTTGATCATTACTTTTTGCATCAGTCTCATTTTCTTCATTACCAGTATGGTTAAAATTGAAATGGTATTAGATTTCCAAGGGCTAACTGATTTCCTAATGAGGTTTTTTATTTGTGGAAATGGGTTAATGGGTAAGAAGGTGCAAAAGTCCTGATGGCCTATTATAAATAGATTTTTCTGATATAAAAATAATTTCTGGTTAGAGCGCTTGAGGAAACAGCTTTCCTGTTACGCCATGGTAGCATCATATTTGGTGCTATCAGCTGGAGAAGAAGGAGATTCTGGTGATAGAAATAGCAGGAATTCTAAATAATTAGCTGTAAATGTGTGTTGTCAGGGGCAGTACCAGTTGTGCACTGCTCTGTGTTAGAAAGTGCAGAGGGGTGTTTCATGCAGGTATGGTGGGTGTGCTGGCCTCACATTGGGATTCCTTCTAATGGAGTGAGAAGGAAGGCAGCTGCAGGGGGTCTAAGGGAAGCCTCAGTGGGTAGAGATGATTTCTAATATGCATCAGGGCATATATGCATTTACAAAAGGACCTGGACATCCTAGGCAGACTTTTACATGAAAACTTCTGCCCCACATGCTAGGTTACCTGTTCTTCCCCCAGGGAAGGAAAAAAAAAAGTATTTTAGGAATCCTAAAAAATCGCATGGAGAATAAGATCTCTCTTTATCACTTGATTGTGCAAAGTAGATAGAGGCCTATGTGAGCTACAATGTAAGCTACCTTGTTAGAATGAAGACATTTTTAGGAATGTGGACAAAAATCTTCGTATGAGAGAGAGATGTGAGGAGGATTGTTTTGACACGCAAAAGGATTCTTCTTTTTCTGCTACATAAGAAATGGAAGATACGCAGTTAAACTGAAAAGTGGTGGAAGTGTTGCTGGAGGAGCAGATCTTTCACTTGCTTCACATAGATTGTGACAGAGTTGCCATGTAATTTGATACAAAGAACCCAGAAGAGAGTGTTTGTGTCAGGGAACACTGTGGTGAGCCTGGAATTCAATATTACAGAAGCAGGAGGATTTATTGACAGTTATGCCTTCCAGCCATGGTCACTAAAACCACCAGAAGGACGTGTTGTTCTTGCCTCTTGCTGAATAGACCCCTCTCACTACAGATTGCTTGCAAAACCACTTTTTGAAGTATTAATTTCCAATTACTGATTTTTCTGGTGTTTGTGGTGTGCATATTATATTGATCTGAGACAGGACTGCTTCAGGTACAAGAGAACTAAAGAAACAAAGTGTTTGGTGTAGCTGAAGTGTGCTAGCTTGGGAAAATGAGATCTCACAGGTGGTTCCTTGTTTATTTTAGTTTGTTTTTTGTTTTAATATGGAAAGTCTGGTTGGTCTAATCTCTCTGCTATTCCAGCTTAATAGGTGTTTTTAAAGTTGTCTAATTAAACACTCTTTCAAAGCAGGCTGTTAATCTTAAATAAAAATCTGGACATTCCAAATGTAATTATTTTTCAGGATGCTTCCGTGTTTACTAGACCCTGTGAGGATAAGCTTTGAAAGTTGAGGTATGGTTGCTTTTAAATCTGTTGTTGTTAACAAAAAGCTGGTTGATCAGCTGATGGAGCAGGAATGTTTATAGCTTGGATCTAAGGTCTTCTCAGCACTTTCTCCTGAACTCATTTTGAGCACTTGATAGTGAGCAAGTTGGAAGGGCTTTTAACTACAACTTTTAACTTCCTTGCTAG